CCCCTTTATTAGTTTGCACAACCGTTATACCATGCCAATACCTTATAAATAATGGACAATTCTATTCTGATCATGTGGAAAGAAGGGAAAAGACACTACTTGGTTTCAGTGAGAAAATGAAAGAAAGATAGACGTGGTGAGTGAGAATCAGATTAAGCTTATAAGAACAGATACTACACTTTGATCTTAGCAAAAAGGGCCAAGAAGTTTTAGGGACTGCGATAAAAGCACCATTTTTCAGACCTACATTATAGAATGACTGAAACAGAGTAAGGCAATTGCCAAATATTCATTTAGCATAAATAAAATATATCATCTGCTGAATTATTTTTAAATTATTAAGAGAATGTTCCTAAAATGGCGATTTGGCTAGTATTCAATAATTTTATATGTCAGTGAGACATGATTTTCACAAGAAGCATTTTAATTCTTTCCTTAAGGAAAATGTCAGATTTAACTCAGTTATAAAATTATGGAAGCATGGTGGAGTAATGGATAGCAGCTGAGATTGAGGAATCAGAGAGCTGAGTTCGAATCCCAGCCATGTTCATTCCATGCTAATGACCTTGGGAAAGGTATAAATCTATCTCTTCAGCCAGCTATGAGTAAATAGCAGGTGCTATAGCCTTGTTTGGCAGCCAGTCTAGGAGAACGAAAACTCTGAATTCAAACCCCCTACTGTCTTGTAGGCCTTGCCTCTTTAATTTCTGAGAGGAGGGATGGGGTTATTACAATATCCCTGGTAATCCAGTGCACTATTTCACCTTGAATCAGGAACCACAATTGTGAGATAGATGAGTGGTGACCACAGCGGTGCAAAATCTGCTAACTGAATAAAAAATGAAATGAAATGATGAAATTATATCAGGAATTTCTCCACAAGAAGAAACATTATCCAAACTTCTACAAATAGCCATACCAATAAACATTAAAATTTTAGCTGTAATTTATCCACTCAAAATATTTAAATATATACAGGTTCAGAGAAGATCATGGAACAGGATCTGTTCTAAGGAGCTTTCATCCCTGGTACCTCTTTACCATTCATTTATGATAGTAATTTTTTTTTAAATTATAGAGAGTCATAGTGGAGTAATGGAAAGTAGCCTGGATTGAGGAATTGGAGAACCAAGTTCGAATTCCAGTCAAGTTTGTTACATTCTTGTTGCATGCAAATAACATTAAGAAAAGGTATGAATACATCTCTTGTAACTCCAGCTATGGGTAAATAGCAGGACAGAATGTGTAGCAACCATCTTAGTAGAAAGACAATTCTAAATTCAAAAACTTTCACCTCACCAACCCAGAATTGGCCAAGTGTGGTGAGAACAACTATACCCCTAAAAAAAGGGTTTCCTCTAACAGGAGTGAAAAGGCCCTGGATTTGTTCTAATAAGCTATACAGACTGTGTATCACTTGGGTGACAACTGGTCTAGGAGAAGGATGATTCAGAATTCGAAACTTCTAACTTTGGGTTAAAAAGTCTCACCAACCGGCATATAGACAAGTGTGGTGGGTATGGCTACACCGCTAAAGACATGGTCTGTCAGATAGGGGTTCCTCCAACAGGAGTGAGAAGACCCTGGAACAGGATCAGTTTAAAGGAGCTTTCATTCCTGGTACCTCTTTATTTATATATAGTAACAGAAATATTAATTCCAAATTAGTTTTCAACATATCTTTTTCTAAGCATTTATAGTTAATATCTCTATTTGTAATAAATCTAACATTTTATAATGTCATATTAGCAGCACTAGAGGATGTTTTAATGCTAGAAATATACTTTTGCTATTGTGGATAATATAAAGTTTTGTCATGTTTGGTCATCCATACTTTATCTATCTCATAAGATGCTTGTAAATTTAAGTGTTTTCATCACATCTGCGAAGCTAAAACCAACATTGTTTTCTTTGGTATTTTTCAAGGGCTATGCTGATTTTGTCTCCACCCTTCCAGTATATTATCTTCATGCATCAATTTGTGTCATTGTTTTCTTTTTTAAATTTGTATTTTATTTTTTATTATAATCTGGAAAATATATTTAGTATGCTTGTTCCTAAATTGAAAGAAATTTTATTGAAGTTGGGTTGTGTGATTTTATGGTTAAGGCTTCTAGTATTTGTAGGCATTTTTTTTACATTTAATGTGGTACTGTACTTTATATATATATTTTTACGTATGCAAGACAACAGAATTCCAAAAATGCTCATGTATGGTCAACTTGACAATGGTCATCGAAACATGGGTCGGCCTTTGCTTAGGTACAGGGACAAGCTGAAGAGTAACCTCTTAGCTGCGAATATAAATCACACTACCTTTGAGAACATCGTAATTGATCGTAATGAATGGAAGATTACATGCTACAATGGCATCAAGAACAAGGCAGCATCAAACATTGTCAAGCTTCGTCAAATTAGGGAAAGGAATAAAATATCTGCTGCTGTTCCAGCCATATACTCCAAGAATCCACACTCTTGCACAATCTGTGGACTTCTTTGCAAATCACTGGCGGGACTGAAGTGTCATTTGCGACTCACGCACAAGATTAAATAAACAAAGTTGTTGGAACCTCATACATCGAAACTGACGGGAGAGTACATCATCATATATATATATATATATATATATCATATATATATATATATATCTATATATATATATATATAATATATATCTATATAATTTAATGAAGCATGTATAATATATATATATATATATATATATATATATATAAATAAATAAATATACATATCTCTCACTGTTCACATGACTCAGAGTTTCATGCAAAATGCAAGCTTCAGATGCTGAATCGTTGATTAATTTAGACATATGTTTATTTATTTAAAAATAAATGAAGTTACCTCCCCTACATAGCGGTAAATTTTTGTATTAACAGAGCATGTTCATGCGCATGCACAAAAATTCATAGTTCTCAATTGCATTAATTCTTTGTTTTAGCAATTCATCTCTGAAGATGATGGATAAAACTGAAAGTACTTGGGAAAATAAACAGAATGAGAAGAGCTACAGTGTCTTCCTCAATCAGTTTAATTACAACATTATGAAAAAGATCTGTGAATATGAGAGGATTAAAATGAAAATAAATAGACATAATATATATAAATTATTCAACCATACAAGCTTGAATGAAGATATAATGCCTCTCTCTCTCTCTCATATATATATATATATATATATATATATACTAATCTGAAACATCAGATTTACTGTCTCATATTAAGTTACTTTATTTGTTTAACACTTATACAGTGAAGATATTTATATACCTTTATGAAACTTACATTACCTGCTGTCAGTGTATATTTACATTTTCAATGGTATGTAAATATGAACTGTTTCCTTATAAGGAAACATTTATTGACTGAGCAGCCAGTACTGCATTCACTACTTTCTCTTAAAATAACTTTTCAGAAAAATTGGTTTGTCAAGTACAATAGAAATTATTCTTCTTTCCAGTATTGATGGGAATTTCCTTCCTAACCTTTTGTTTGAAGTAGTGTGGAATGTCAACATCTTGATTATGTCATTATTTTCCCTCAAGTCATATCCATTTTAGTTGTTGAACTTGTTGAAATTCCTCAAGTGATATAGTTCGTGTTATTTGGTACAGTTCTTTCTTTGTACTCACAGGTTTCACTCTCTTAAGGCCATTTTTAATCATTGATCTGAAAAGTGGTTGTATACAGGTGAATGGTTAGATATTTCTGAATGAATTTGGTGCCATGCATGATATCTATATAAATCTGAAGAACATAACTCAAGTTTTTAGGTTAATATTTTGGTTTTGTACCAATTTACGGTGTTGGGTGAAACCATCTATAGTGCAGCCTATTCTATGTTCAATTTCCTTATCCTCTACACTGTGAAATGTCAGTCCCTAGTATTTGTGTTATAAACTAACTAGCATTTAGTGCTATTTTCAAACCCTTGGCGGCATATAGTAGCTTACTAGATGACCCTGTTTTGTGACATTTTTAGTAGCATACTGCAGAGTATCCAATTGAAACTAAGATGGCAGTACCCATGAGAAACTGATTTCTGATAATTGACAATTTCCTATTTTTTTTAAAATGGGCCAACACAGCCAGGCCACAATGTAGCAGTGAAAGTGCTAATTTAATTCCTGACCAAAGACCATTGAACGCATTTTGTTTCTGTCATTATCATATCCCATTATCAACTCAATTATTTTTCTGTAATCTTTTTTTTTTTCTGCAAATGTGCTCAGCTTATATTCTGTAACATGAAATAGAAATGTTTTTAACACCTTTTAACGTCTAAAAAAATATTCATTATCTATCTTACATGGTTCTTTCTGATGGTAACATTAGGTTAGGTTGGTTGATCTTGCAACAGATCAATACTTGCAAAAAACATGGGAAAAGGTAAAAGAAAAAAAGAAAAGAAATAATTTCACGATCCAATCACTTACAGTGGGAACCCACCCTTTTACTGTGGCTCGACGGACTTTTGCCAAAAATATCTTCAAAAGTAAAAAAAAAAAATATATAAATAAATCTCAAGTCATGAGGGAAATGCATGATATCATGTAGTGGGTAATTAAAAATCAAAATGGAAAAATCCTGTTACACTTTTCAACCTGTCAAAGGACATTTCAGAATGTGTAATTTTTTTTTAACGGAATCTGTAAGGGTGGGCAAATGAAATGAAACAAATGTCAGTTATAAATTCTATATCAAGATAATAATTAACTGATTTGTTTTTTAAGGTTTATTAACCTTTTGCAAGTTATTTAAAGCCAGAAAATATATTTAGATTGTAAGAAAATTTTTTGAGATAATAATGCTCTAGTGATACAAGTCTTACTAATTAACCCATAGCTGGGAGGAGAAGATTCATATCTTTCCCAAAGGTAATTGTATTTAAGTAAATATAATGAACCAGACTGGAATTGGAACTCAGCTGTCCAATTTCCAATTCTGAGCTGTTACCCATTACACTACCTGCACATCCAAGTTTACAGCACTTGATATTCTCAAGTGGTCACCCATCTAGGTACAGACCAGGCTCGATGTTGCTTAACTTCAGTGATTGTACATGAACCAGCATTTCAATGTGATATGGCTGTAAGCTGCTGAAGATATATGGACACTTAACTTTGTATTTAAATTAAAAATTTTTACTGTTTTAATGTACAACCCAGCGAACCTTTTTTTTCTACCACTTTTTAATAATTCTCAATTCTCAAGAACGAAAAGAAAATGTATTAATTCACTTTCATATGTTTAGGTTTTATTACAATTCTAATCCTCACTTTTTAAAACAATAAACATTGTTGAGGAGTGAAGGTAGTTAAAATAATAGCGGTGTCAAAGGAAAAGCCATCCTTTTGACACTACGTTTTTTTTTGGTAGGCACAAAGGTCTAAGTTTGTCATCTTTTATTTAAATCTTGAGATGTTTTACCTATGTATTTCTTGTGACATAAAGTCTATTTTGTAAATTCTTGCTTCAAGCTTTAAGTTGTTATTTTGTTTTGCATTGGTTAAATCTCTTATAGTTTATGAAGTAGTTGTAACAAATTTGATATTAAGTTTGGATAAATTCTTTTCAATTGTAGTCTTAATTGATTTGGCAGGTTGTATTATGTCTAGTTTTATCAAGATTATTTGTATTATTTACTTTTCTAATTTTGTGAATTTGGTGAGCTTTACAGCAAGAATTATATTTGAAATAATTAGGATGTTGAAGGAGTTAAACTTATAAAAGTTATGAGAAAAATTATTAACTTAAAAAGTTATGAGAAAAATTTTAAAAATTAAATGCAAAATTTAAAATTACAATTTAATTTTAGAAGAAAAATTTATGTGAAAATTTTCTTCAGGTGATATATGTTGGAATTTTGAAACCCTTTATTTCATCCACTGGGGTAGATTGTTCTAGTTCCATGTTACTCCTGAATATCTTAGTTTCAGTTATCTCCCTTTAGTAACTCAACTCTCCAAGTTTTTGTTCACATCTACTGTGGCCAGGTATTGAACTCTCAACTCTTTGGGTCACATCACTGGATTACTTCAACCAATTCTTTTATCGACTGAGTCATGTGTCCTTGGAGACATCAGTGTATGAATTATTGGAACTTATAAACCTAAAGGCATAGCACATGGAACTAGAACAATCTACCCTGGTGGATGAAATAAAGGGATCAGTGCGAAATACCAACATATATCACCTGAAGAAGGCCAGAGCGTACAACAGCCGAAACATTGTGAATATGAAAATAAAGATAAGGACAACAGTCTGAACAATGTAAATAGTGTAAATAGTTACAATACTTCATCTCAGAAATATAGACAAAAGTTCCACTTTAGCTTTACATTTTGTTAATGCTTTTTCAATTTCTATTTCTCTTCCTATACCAGAAATGTTTGTTTGAATAAAAATAATGAGAAATTCATCATAAATAATATAGATAGTTAGAAACACATTGTAAATAAATACACCTTTTTACTGAATTGACTGACATCATTAATGGGGAGGTTGTGTTTGATTACCAGCAGCAAGGACATTGATATATAGTTGCAAAATAATGAGTTTTTAATCGTAATGTACAATTTATTTCTCAACCATTCTGATCCCCTCACCAAGCATTTATTGGTCCCTAGGGGTCAATATCAACCACTTTAGGGACCCCTGCTCCAAAGTGATTGAAGAATAGATTAAGATGTTAATATATAAAAAGATAACTTCTGTATCAACACATATCTAGGTTAGCAGTTTTGGAAGGTACTATTAATCTTAAATAAAAATAAAATTTTGTTTTGATTCTATTAATTCAACATTAAGTCGAATTATTTGCAATATGCAAGATATTTTCAAACAATAAATAGATGGGTGTTGTTTTTGGTTTTCCTTTTTGTTTGTGTTTGGCTTTATGAAATGCATTCCTTGAACAAAGTGAAAGGTTTCATATTTTAATAAAAGGAGAGAAAGGAAAGTACACTCTTCATGTTTACAGACATCTTATATTTGCATTTGGGTAGAGAAAAATGGACAAAGAGGATTTCAAATATTTTTTTTTCTACAGTCTATTTCATCTTTAGCCAGTTTATAAACAAGCAATAATAGAAAATTACACAGTAAATTAAAGAAAATTACATTGTAAAATTACAATATTATGGGATATTGAAAAATGAAGGTAGAATAGATTTTAAAGACTTCCTAGATTGCCTTTGCAGTACTACCTATGATTTCATGGGTCTCTAGAAATGTCCCATAATTGTACCTTTTTAAAAGATAGAAATAATTTAGAATTTGTCAATAATCTATTTATTTCAGAAGTAATTGAATAGTTGTCACCTGTCGAAACTGCCACTTTTCAACCAAAAAAAAAATTGAAGAGCTCAGCTCAATGACCACTATTCAAGTGGCACAAACTGGCCAAATTTTAGGCCAGCTCCATGTCTCAACTTGTGAGTCAAAAAAAAAAAAAAAAAAAAAAAAAAAATGAAAAAGTTATAAAAATATTTTCTGACCAATCAGAAAATACCAATGCAGCTTTATGCAATTGTTTCTGATCCACTCCAACATGATATAAATTGCCATCGATTTGACTCCAAAGGCTCATTTTTCTGTTTTGTGTCCATTTTGCCTAGGCACTCTCTGAAAACACCTACCCAATGCCAACAATCATAGAGGTGAAAAGTCAAATGTTAACAGCAACAGCCAAGGCCACTACATGATGGATGTCTTTACTCGTACTATGCAATAAAGATCATACACATGCATATTTTCCTCAAGTGATCTTTTTCTACAACTATGATGTAATACAGACTCCTATGTATTCAGTAGAATCTTAATGCAAACTCTGATCACTTTTGCATGTCACCCAATCAGTGACATACAAAGGTTGGGTGATGCCCTGGGCCAACTCCTTGATTGTATGTCCCTAAGACTCATATGCCCCTGAGAAATGTGAGAAAAGAAGACATTTTAAATGTGTAAAAATAAATGAAACATGAAACACTTTATTCAAATTAAATATAAACTAAATCTTTACTTTCACTTTTTAATTGGATGCCTTCTCAATATGGATACCCTCTGCTCCATTACTGCACACTACCACACCCAATGTAAAAGCATAAATAAATCCTTTTTCACTTTAACAATGCCTTATCTCCATTGCCATGTGTTGCTTCTCATTTCTTTTCTGTTAGCTCAAGTTATAGTATTGTGGATCAGTGGTTCCCAAACTTTGTTAGCTCATGGCCCACTTTGAACCCAGAATTTTTCTGTGGCCCAAAATTATTATAGTGTAAAAAATTGCTTCCATTTTGTGGCCCAGTAAAAATTATAAAATTTCTGTGGCCCAGCTGAAATTTGCCATGGCCCATTTTGGCTTTAAGTTGGGAAACACTGCTGTGTATGACATATTCAAACGAGGTCCTTTCATACTTATCAGTTCCGTAGCTTCCACAGAAAGATTAATAAAAAAAAATTTTTTTTTTTTAATTTTTTAACTTTTTGTTTAAAACAAAAAAGCAAACAAATTAACATGCTTTTCTTGCAAAAAGAGTGGCAATTACTGACAAACCTGAAGAATGTAATATTCTTACTTACCGAATGCTTCCGTGTCATTTTCACCTTGAAATTAGCGACTCCCATGGCTTCAGTAACAAAAGTAACTGTTAAGTAACTGGTAAGTAATAAAAAAAATATGAGATGAAAACAAATTAAATTTTAATACATTTGAAACAGGTTAAATATGAAGGTTGCTGAAAAATTTGACCCAAATCTGACCAAACATCCCATTTATTTATTTATTCCGGTGAGGGTTTTTGGCCAGGGCAAGAACATTTTTAGTTTCCCTTTAAATGTATTATACACAAGCATATATAAGTATGAAGATTTATATATTTTATTTTTTTTAATTTGACAGATTTTAATTATTAGTATTTTTTTAAAACTAATATTCACTCAATACAAGGCCCAATAACCATTCAAGGTAGAGGGTTACTGTGTGAAGTTATATTATCATAGGAAAGGACAAGAGTTAAGAATACAGAAGAGAGGCAGACTTTAGAAGAAACCATAAACCCAATCCTAAACAGAAAACAAGGGATAAACCTCTACTCCTGTTCAAAACATCATGGAGGAGTGTGAACTGAATGATAAACCTATCTACTCCTATTAATTTCAAACATTATTTTGGTAGATGCTCCATTTATTTTAAATGTTATTTATTCTGTCTACTGGCCTGTGTACTCGAGAAAACTTAAGAAAATGCACCCTCTGGCAGAATTTGAACCTGTGTCCCACTTTGCAAGAAAAATCACTATCTGATCCAACATGTTTGACTGCTTCATAATCAAGCAAGATTCTATTTTGTCTTCTATTTTGTGCATTAAAGGCTAGAAAATTTAAATAGAGTTTTTGTTCAAGTACTTTTGACTGCCTCAGTCATTATCAAGAACTGGTTGTTGTCTGTACAGTAGACAAGAATTTCTTGGCCATATCCTGACATTTTTTTTAACATACTGTAGTTTGAGTTAGTACAAAATAATATCATGTATAGTGGTTAAATCGATCTAAACCAGTGGTGGGCAAACTTTTCAGAGCAAAGGCCACATCAGTGGGTCATAAAAAGTCAAAGGGCTGCATCTTTTAAAATCAGGTTGTGCACTCTAAGATAATACAACATATAGACAGCATAGTTAATAAAAACAAACAATTTCATCATCTAGCACAAGCAATTTAATGGGAAAATGTTTCTAGCCACAATTCTGCTTTACAATTCTTTTAAAGTCTGGCACAAAGTTGCTGGTAGAAACTCTCGTCACTGCATTTAAGTGTGTGTCTATCACCATAGACTTGTTCTTGGACTTATTTATCTTTATGCAGGAAAACTCTGCTCACAGATGTAAGTGGAACCATAGATAATCTGGCAGCAAAATTTCTTAAACACGGAAAGCCTTGAACAGAGTGACTTGTAAAACTTTACTAATGGTAGGAAGTGAAACATTTCCTTCAATGAATAATCAGATTGAATGTCCATCAATTCAATCTGTAATTAATCACGTGCTGCATCAACATCTGCAGAGAAAGAGAAGTTAAGCTGAATTTAAGTTCAATCTGTCTGAAATCCTGTTGGGGCGCACCCACCTTCTAACTAGTAATGGACTGGTCCCTCTTATATAAGTCAACTCTAGAGAGAGGACGGGAGAGTGAGTGACAGAGCGTCAGCGACAGCAGTCCAGAGAAGCTTACCCGGTACATACCGTTGGACTATAGACTTTGGATATTTTTTCGTACTAACCAACCTTCGTTCTGCTAATCACTCTATTGTTAATTGCTTTTATGAATATACCAGTATTTTCCTCTACAACTGTGTTTGTCTTGATTCATACACCGACACGCGGGAAACTCACAACATCTCAACAAATCCTCAAACCTTCTTTCAAACTCACCAAACTTCACAACTAATCCTTAATTTTTGAGCACACATTTGCAGGAACTTTCTCTTTTCCCAACAATGAAAAATGAGTGAACTTGCCCACACTTGCTTGCTGTGAAAACAAAGATAATTTTGCTTGAAAAGATTTGACAAGTTTGTGTATCAAAAAGAAGAGAGAGAAACAAAAAAGTGACTAGAGGGTTCACCGGCAAACCAGCTGTTCTTCTTCGCCGTCAGTTGCCTCAAAGAAATGAATTGCGAGACTCCTTTTCTCGTCCATTGCATCGTGTAGTCATGAAACGGACACCCAAATCAAACGCGCTTACTTACACTGCCTCTTGGTCTTCCAGTCTATTCGCACATCTGACTGTCTCACGAAGTCTACCGAAAATGACTCGCCTTCTTGCAAACAAACACTTTACGACAGCAAACAAGCAAAATGGCACCCAAAACTACTGCCGACGGACGACTGACCGCAACAGCTTTTGTCACCCACGACTCGCGTGTCTTCTTCTTGTAGTCCTCGGTCGAGTCCATTATGGTACTCCAAGGTGTGCCCAGTGACAACACACACACGCAGTTCAAGGACATTTCCGCGCATGCTCGTTACAGTTTATATATTTCATCAGTGAAAAGTTTATTTCCCTGCAATTTCACATTTAGCTCATTCAACTTTTCAAAAAAAAAAACAGCTGCTAACATAAGTTCATATGTCCACTCATCATAGTCCATTTTTGTAACAAATTCACAAGCAGTCCCTTTCATATCGAGAAAGGGTAGAATTTCTTTTCGTAAGTCCCAGATTTGCTTCAGCACTCTACCATAATAGAGCCATTGTACATTGTTGTGGCAGAGAACATCCCCAATGCTCAACCTCCATGCCCTCCAGTAGGGATTTGAATTGTCTGTGATTGACTGCTCTTGTCCTGATGGTGTTTACTACACTCACCACTGAATCTACCACATGCTTCAGGTTAAGTGCAGATTTACACAGAGTTTCTTGGTGAAAAATGCAGTGAAAAGACAAGAAAGCTTCGTTAGGATTGTCTTTTCTAATCTTTCAGGAATTTAACCATGCCAACATTTTTGTCAATCTATCCCATGATAATGCACTTTTTTTTCATTTGCATTGACCACACATTCATACAAATCCTGACTGGTTGTATTTTTCATTGATTCTAATAACAGAAACTCTTTAGTGATATGGAAATTCTCATCCACTCCACGTACAACAATTAGTAACTGTGCAGTATCTTGGATGTTGGTACTCTCATCTGCTGCTAACGAATAACAAATAAAATCTTTACTTGCATCCCTCAGCTCTTGAGTCAACTCCTAACTGATTATTTCTATGCATCACATGACAGTCCTCCTTGATAATGTTTTTGAATTTAACTTTCATTTCTGGGCATACAACACTTGTGCAATCCATCATACATTGTTTTATTGACTTGTCATCTGAGAATGTTTTTTTTACGTCTTGAAATTCGGTGTGCCACCATAAAACTTGCTTCCAATGCAGTATCATGAATTGATGATTGCTTCTTAAATAGAGTTTGTTGCTTGTTCAATTTTGCAACATATTCTGCAGTCTTTTTCTTCCAGTGATGTTGCGACCAACACAAATCCCCATTTTGAAGTATATATTTGGCTTGGCTAACAAAGCTTAACTGACATATTGCAAAAGAAATTGGGAAATTTTACTTTAAAAGTGAGCAGCATTTAGAAAACTCAGATCAAAACAATATTTTAAAGTGATTATAGGGTTATTGTAATTTTTTTTTTGACAATGATGTTCACCCTGGACAAGGCCCAAGAGCCACTCGAAGTAGAGGGTTAATTTGTTCAATGTAAGTACTAATCCTTTAGCTATCTGAGGAAAAAAAATTTAGGCAATGTTTTTTTCTACTAATAATGAATAGTAGGGGATGTGCAGGTGGCATAAGTTGTTGGTGTGGAAAGTGTAACTGGTAAACAGGGTTCAAATTGCAGCCTAATCTGTTGTTTTCACTTTTGTAAAAATGCCTTTGAGATAGGCATTAATTCCTTATCTTTCTAGCTATAGGTTAAATAGCAGTCTAGATTGGACTTTCTAGTTAATAGTTTAAGAGAAAGAGGACTATGAATTTAAAACTGGAGAAGACAATGGGAAACTGCTCCACTATCTTTCCCAGGAAGTTAAGGCAACTTGTAGATAATAAAGAAAAGGAAGTTGTGTCAAGTCATGATTGCCAATGTGTTGAATAGTAAAAAATATATACTTACCTAAAGAAAGCTAAAACAATTAGGAAGACCGTACTCATAAGCCAGCCAGCACTATAAAAAGTCTTTGGCATTGCTAAGGCTCCTGTTCCAACAATAAGGTTAAAAATATAAATTAACCCAACCTGTATAAAAAAAAAAAAGAAAAAAAATTTTATGCAAATAAATTATTTCAATAAGTCTCTTAAATTGCTGTAAAAATTGCAAAATGCCTAAGAATATTTATTGAATTCAGAATTTGCCTAATAATAATTTGCATAATAATGACATTATAAGAAATTTAAGTTACTTCAGCAAGAGTCAGGCTTTCAGAGATGGACAGACACTGTAATGGACTCTTGCTTAAGCTTTAACTTTTAAAAATATTTATGATACATTCTGATTGGATGTTAAACAGCAACATTTGTTTTACCTCCTAACCAATGAAAAGGGTTCCCTCCAAATAGCAAGGAACATGTTTGGAGCCTACCTGTCTGTTATATGGAATTGCTATTTCGGAGTTGACATCAAACTGCTACATGAATTCAGATTGCACTGGTTCAGAACGAAAACAATGCAGAAGAATTTAAGACTACCCATGAGCACTGAAGAAAACTGAAACAACCTGATTGCCCCTACCACAAATAAAAGTTTTTAACTGGTGTGGTAACTTCAGTGTTACAACAAAAAAAAAAAAAATCACAAACTTTTTTTATACAAAAAGTGTACAAAATTCCTCATTGAAAAACATTCAGAGAAATATTTCTTTTTTTATACCTAATGTAGTTTTCTCTTTGGAGGATCTTTTGAATATAATATTAATTGTAAAATGGCATGTTAATTTTCATTGCTAATTTACACATTATTGGCCATTATTAGGCACACAATGTGCTGTTAAGAATAAAATTTTATTGTATCTTTTAAACTCAGCTCATGTCATCTGTGTCATTTGTTGTGTGCCAACAAATTGATGTTATTTGTTTTAACTTTTTTTTTGTATGTATCGGATATTATTATTATTGTCTCAATTTGATATTAAAATTTGAATTAAAAATTCCTTGAATTTTCAATGTTAAATTTGTTTCTTTTTATATACAAGGCTTTTATTAATGAGATTGGGATTTTTTCCTTTGGGTTTTTATCCAATTACTGGCTAATTTTTATCAATTTAAAACAAAAATACTCATTCCAGTCAATTTAAATTAGTTTTAAATTAATTTTTAAATGCAGCAAAGTATTTTGCTTATTAGAAATATTAAATTTAATCTATTAGCTTGAAATTAAAACTAAAAAGTTTAAAGAAAAATTTTAAAAATTCATTTTAAACTTTCTTTGGAGGTACTTTGCAGAGGCAGCATGTACTACCCCCAGACTGGGCAAGGCCTTATTAGTGCCCCAGGCAGTGCTTTGTAACCCTCGCTATCTTATCAACATTTGCTTTTTTTACCTACATTTATATACATCACAAATTAAACACAGCATAATTGACAATTATGAAAAGATGAAAAATATTTGCAGATTTTGACATAGGTTTCGAATTTTTTTCATCCAAATCCATGAATTTTGCTCGTGATAAGTCTTCCAAAAACACAGAATATAAAATTCACTATTTTTTATCAATAAATGTTGAATGTGTTAAAATTATTCAACTTTTTAACAAGAAAAATCTCAAGTTGCTGCAAAACATTGTTGATTTATTTAAGATGGAATGATCTGTTATGACATGTCTCTAATTTGTATTTAGATACATTTTATTTATTTTCAATTTTTCTAGTTGAATTGTTCACCTATATTGCATATGATCAATTATTGTACATAATTAGGTTACAATGAAATTTGTATTTTATATGAATACTACCTTATGAAAATTAAAAATAAAAGAGTGTGTTTGTGTGTGTGGGGGGGTTACACCCTTGTACTCGCCCTGGTACTTAGTATAATGTAACATTACGTGCATGCCATGGGAGTAAAGGAAAATAAATTAGAGAATAGAAATTTTTAAAAAAACTAATTTATTTTGTATACTAATTGGAGAGAAAATAAAGACTTCTAAACTAACGAAGAGTCTAGTCCTCACAAGCAGTTGGAAATACAGTAGAACCTCAGATCACGTAGGCCTCTCATTACAAACAAATCTGTTTACAAACAAATTTTTAAAACAAAATGTTTCAGGTGACGAATGGTGTCTCTAGTGTCAAACATGCCAGTCAACAACTACATGGGATACTCCTCTTCCAAACAATAACATCTCTCCCCATCTTCTTTCTCACCACCTTCCATTCATGCCATCAATTCTTTTCTGTACAGATACAGTAAAATTAAAGGTTTTGTCTATATTTTATCTGTTTCGTATTGCATATGGTTTTGTGCATGAACTTGTGTACAAAATCCTATTGTAAAAGTTTGAATAAGCAATCATCCAGGGGTCCAGGAATGGATTAATCTATCTTACATTGATTCATGAGTTTTTAATTTTCCTTCCACATACAACTAAAACAACTTTACGAGATATTACTTACCAAATATCAGGAAAAATGGGGAACATAAACTAGAGTTACAACAGAAAATAACATGTATCCAATACTTATGCGTGTCACTGTGTGTATATATATATATATATATATATATATATATAAAGCAGACTCATTAATAATGACTTCCCAAACCACATTGTAGATGAACAAATAAGACAATATATAAAAAACCCTCAACACAAGTGAAATATAATGCTTTCTCCAAAGGACACTAAATATATCAAACTATTATATTATAACCAGATGCATGCTAACTACAAAAAGGATGAAAAAATCAGAAAGAATCTCATTCATACTAACATATCTTCCATAGATTCTAATAAAAAAATACATTTAATTATATATTACAAAAAATACAATACAACCAATTTAATTATTCACAATAACTCCTCCCCACCAACTGATATATTACGTAAAACCAACATTATATATCAATTTAAATGCCCCTTGGGAGAATGTATCTCCAACAAAAAAACAAATATATATGTTCAGTATACAACAAATACACTAACGAGAAGGCTTACATTACACATGTCTGACCATGTGTCCATTGCAAGATATCTACAACAGCATTCTTGTCCACATTCACAATATAAAAAAAAATACTAATTGACAACACATCTATCCTACACCATGAAAACAACAAATTCAGATTACAGATACTAGAAGCAATTTATATTTAAAAAAAAATAAAAAAGCAGGTACTGAACAGAATCAACTATGAATACTGCAGTAATGTTCTGAAATGCTTGTAAAGGAACAGTTTTTCAAGCTTTAATGCGTGTATGACAGGAAAAAAAAATTCCATAATGGATAATTTTTTCACATTCTAATGAATGCTCAGAAACCATTTTGCATTTAAAAGCATAATGAAAAATTATGGTAATGGATAACAACGGACAACTAAATACTTGTACTAATGAAGAACATATAGTTTTGTATTACTTGCACCCCTGAAGATCTTGGAAGAAGATTGAAAGTACTTAAAAAAATGAAAATAAAAGAAATTTAAACAGCTATAGCACATTTCTCTCATCCTTTAACATAAATTCATGGAAGGTTATTTGTGAGTATGAATGGATTTTGTTAAAAATTAGCAGACATAATGTCTGCTTTATTCAATCAGACATGCCTAAAAGAGAATTTGCTGCCTAAACACACACACACACACATATATTCTGTTTACATGTTATTTAATAAATAGATACAATTTATTTAAGTAAATTCTATTTTTTAAATAAACAGTATTAATTACATTTACCAGCTTTAATGTTTGATAAATTTCATAGAAAATATCTATTAAATAATGTATAAACAGAAAATATATTAAATAATTATTGACTTAATCTATTTCATAATATATATATATATATATATATATATATTCTATAAATATATATATATATATATTTTCTAAAATAAGTGGTTATCCAAGGATTCCCATCTACTAGGGCAGCTAGCCAATCCCCATTTGCAGATGCCTGCTCAGGCACATTTGTGATTTTCAATGCCCACAGAGCTCACCTGTGATTTATACTGCAACTATGCCAAGCAGTCCTTAGTTACAGTTTCTGGGAGAGAGCACACTCATCAATCTGAACAAGGCCAGCACACTCAAACTCTCGGTCACGATGACTTGTAAGTTTGTGCTAGCACAAAAACTGATGTCGCCCCAAAGAGTTCCACCTACCCAATTTCACTCACAATGCTTGGGTCAAACCATGGTATGGTTTTCAGGCACTTTCTAAAGGTGTCACATGCTGGGATAGCCTCCCTCAGACTGATAACATCAAGAAGTCAACTTCCTGACAAATTGACCATGCTGAGATTCAAACCGGGGTCTCATGGTCAGAAAGAAAATGTCTTAACCACTCAACCACATACTCGAATGGAGGCAAGGTGGAGCAATGGACTGCGGCTTGGATTGATGAATTGGAGAGACAAGTTTGAATTTCAGCCAAATTCATTATATTTGCTTATGCTAATACCTTTGAAAAATGTATGGATCCATTTATTCTCCCCCCAGCTATAGATAAATAGCAAGACAGACTGGGTTCTGTAGCCTTGGGTGGCAGCCAGTCTAGGAGAAGGAAAACTCTGAATTCAAAGTAGCTTTTCTGTTGCACATTATATGAGCTTGTATGCAAGTCACTAGCAGGAAGTGCCACATATGACACAAACATAAAAAAAAAAAACTGAATGGGATTGTCGGATCCTTATATGTTGAAATTATATATATATATATATATATATATATATATATATATATATATATATATATATATATATATATATATATTGGATGCACGGTAGAGTATAGAGCTGAGTTCGAATTCCAGTTGAATCCATTACATTCACTTACATGCTAATACACTTGGGAAAGGTATGAATCCTCTTCTCCATCCAGCTATGATTAATTAGCAGGACAGACTGGGTTCTATAGCTTTGGATGGCAGCTGCTCTAGGGGAAGGACAACTCTGAATTCAAAACCTGCGGAAGGTCTTTTGGGGACCTTGTGGCACGTAGTGCACCAGGTCTCTGTATTCAGCCCTTCAAAAAGTGTGGTTGGTCTGCATAAAGTCTTCACTACCACAATCAAATCATATGTGCT